AGTGCTGGGTTTGCATCTGCTTCTCATTTAAAATCCATTTCCAAATCTACTAGTGGACCTTTATACAAAGAATGTACTCAATCATTCAAGTTGAAGACATAGATGGGGCCGAATGAACTTCAGTGTGGTTTGTGTGTTTGATTGTCTCTCATTCCATTTTCAGCTGTTCAAGTGCTGGATACACAGCCTAGGGTTGAAAAAATGAGGCAGCCCTCTGTAGCAGACCCTGAAGCAAAGAGGAACTTGGAGCAGCGTTGGTCTCGGCCTATCGAAGGGGTGTTTGGGGGAGTGTCTGGGCCAGGCAACCAGTGATGGAGACAGGTTCTGCGTGAATTTTTGAGGCACAATGGAGTTCATCTGTGGCAGACTCTAGGCAGAAGCATATGCTTAAGCACAGGCTTTGGAGACTGATCCTCCAAGATGCTGACAATGTGGGAAGTGTATTGACCTTTTAGACATGCGAAGTTCCCTGAAAACTCCTTCACTTCTGCTCTGATGCCCCTGAGAACACTTGTTCTTTGAAACTTTGGTGAAAGGGCTGAGGTTATCCGCAAAAGGTGACATAATTTAAACCCAAAGGAAACTGACAGCAAGAATTGTTTAAAAGGGCAGCAACTTTATTTCACAACTACCTGCTGGAAGCACGGCTAGTATATAACTTGACAGCATTTTCTTATTTTCTTCTAAATAATGTAAAGTCTGATTCCATTAATCAGCTGTCCCAGCAAAGTTCTGAGAAAACTTCTGGCATTGTTGCACATTCTCACAATTACTTGAACATGTGAAGGACACAGTCTTGTATGCAACGCTGAGGCATTTATTTGTCTAAGTTCAGGTGAGACGAAAGGAAACACATTACTGAACAAGAAAGGCGTTTGGGTTTTCCTGTCATGTGCACTTAAAATATGCTTTAAAACTGACATTAATGTTTATCTTCCCAGTGAGAATGATTTTGGATCAAAAATAAAAAATACCAACTTTCATCAAGAAAAAATATAAACTAGAATTTTAAGGCTCAAAGTGAACATCTTTGTATTGGAATTAATGAGGTGATTATCAATTAATCACTTCTCCAATATGTAATAGTGTATATATTTCTTTAGGCCTTTTGTGAATCATTTGGTTTGAAAACAGTTTCCAGAAATGAATGTTTCTAAGCCTGGCAGCATTAGGAACGCAGTTCTTAAAAGAATTCATATTCCAGAGCTGTTACTTTGAGGTACCTGTGGTCACTGCACACAGTTGGGATTTGCAGTGTTTACATACGAGGATGAATACTTGGCTTTGCACATTTGCAGTGTGTGCTCTCATCTCGAGCAGACATGAGGCACTGGGGAGAGCTGCTCCACCTCCACGTGGGAGCAAAGGAACTCAATCTGGCTGTTTTAAGTCAACAAGTCTAACGACGTCAATGCAAACTGCTGTGCAATGCTGCTGCAGCTGAGTTTGCATCAATCTGGACCAAAACTTCAAAGATAAAACTTTTCCTATTGGGAATTGCAATATAGAACTTGCCATTTGTGCTCTTTGCAATATACTGTGCCTCTGATTGTATACAAAACCAGGACTAGGAGGGAATGGGAAACTAAATAAACCTACAAGATTCGGGGTCAGTGAACACTGGAGAGGTGACAAACCTGAGCATTTCTGTATTGCTCTGATACAGTGTTATGCTCCACTTTGTGGCGGTTTCATGGACTTTTGGAAGTTAATAGCTAACAGTGACATCAGTGGAAGGTCTAACATTGATTTTTGTTGCTGTGGTAGCCTGCCCTGGATAGGAGAATGAAAAGCCATGTTAGTGTGAAGGGTTATGCAGTTAGACACCAGCAAAGAGCAGGCAAGTTGTTCACAAAGAAACACAGTGACACAGGCTCTAGCACAGCTTGACACAGTAAGGTGAGGGAGTGCTGTCCTTTACAGGTCAGGAGCTCAGTGTTGTCTCTGCTGCTTACACAAGTCTTTTTCCATTGGCTTTTCTAGCACTTAATGACACAAACATAATTTTTGTGTCTTTTTCTAGCAAGTCTTCTTTGTAACGAGCACATCAGTACTACTAGTTAACAGTACTGACACCCATTCACACCAGCTGCCTTTACTGACTAATTTTGTGGGCTCAGTATATGCAGGGGAGAAATGCCTTGTAGCATTTAAAACCCAAAATGTAACAACTATAGACTATTTGGGATCAGATTCTGATTTTGTTTGTCTCAGATGCCCTGAAAATAATTAAAATTACTGACTTCTGTATCATGTAGGAAAATGTGATGGGGTTTGATCCTTTTGCTAGTAAATACTGTCCAGGAGAGAATGTTATCGTTCAGCTGACAGATTTTGACGATCCACTTTCTGTAGCCTAACTCTCGGTGAGTTTTCTGAGGCTATTTCTTGAATGACTAAGGATTAATCTATTTTACACAGATCTTCGGGAAAAGTCTTTCAGCAGTAACTTCTTGTCCTTCCACTTCCTAAGAACTGAATGTACATTTTAAAACAAATTGTACCACTTAATCCTCAGCTTGTCAGTTCTAATGATACGGGTTTGGAGACATGCCACTGAAATTGCAAAGAAAAGGTGGAGAGATATGGTTTACATATTTGCACTGTGCACTTTGTATTTTAGATTGCGCTGAGTTTTTGGGTGTGGTCTGATGCTGCAGAATTTGAGAACCGCTACTGCTGTCAGTAATACTGATCAGTGTGATTCTAGCACTGTAACTAGACAATTGCCATAGTGAGCACTAATACTCCTTTCTTCAAAACTGTGCAAAGAACTCTGATTCAAGTGATCACTCTTGTGGCTGGACTTGCCTAATGGGATATATCCCAGTAAAAAAGGAAAAGTTTGTGCTTGCTTTAATTCTTAGTTTCTACTCAGTTGGCAGATAACTGAATCCACACACGGTATTCAGACAGGCAGTGGAAAGTAAAATACTTTAGGAAGCACAGAGTGATTTAGGTCTGAAGAAAGCTCAGGAGGTCAGTCTGGTCCAACCCCTTACTCACAGCCAGGCAAGGGAGCCACAGGGGACTCGGAGCAGGCAATCTCCTGACTGAACCTGTGCTGGGGATGAAGCCTAATGGCTAGTATATAACCTGCAATACTGTAGATCAAAATCTACTCTTCAGTTCTGGCATGAAATATAGGAAGACCAGGGATGTAGATGGGAGTAGAGTTCGATCTTTCATGTCTTTATTTCCTACCTTCCCACTACCCAACACCGCTGGATTAAACAATCTAATAATTTTCCTTGGATTATTTTCTCAAGAGTAGTAACTAATAAGGAAAACTTTTAAATTTGGGTTGCCCAATTCTGACTCAGTTTAGGTTTAGTTTTGGAATCCCTAAGCCATCCTAAAAACGAGTGAAGATAAGGGGAGCAGTAGATTCTCTGTCCTGGAAAATCAGACCCACAGTGTCTTAAATTGGGCACCTCATAACTGAAGTCACTTGAATCAATGCATCACTTACAATAGCAATTAGTTTTATTTTGTTTGCCAGAGAAGAGGAGGTACAACATGAGCAACAACTGGGACAACAAAAGCTGTATTGTGGGAAACCCAGTGAAAGGGTCTCTCTTTCTTAGTCTCTCATATTCTTTTGCTCTTCAGATAACTCCGTATTGTTTTCTTTGCATATGTAGTTTTTTTAAGTTACATTTTTAAATTTGACAAGACCCAAATAAGGTCTAAAATGAAAATATCTGTTCTTTTTTTCATTACTGTGACTTTGATCAGGACTTTGTTACATTCTCCAACTATGTTGAAAGCACTAAGAACTGCTTGAAAACGAGGCGAGGGTTAGCAGTACTTTAAAGATCTTAAATATTCACGGATTCTAAGGGCTGGAAGGGATTAATGCAACTGTATAGATGCTAAATATATTTTAATTCATCAGTAGGTGCTGTTCCTTAACACCTTCAGTTGATTTTTTTCCAGTAATTTGCCTTATTTATTACTACTATTAGTTACAGTGGGGTTTTTTTAGCTCTTTGCACATAACTATTGCTTAACATCTTAAGTTTCGTAGATTAAGAGAATTTTCTGTCTTTATAGCAGACACCACACTTCTGATCATTTCCTAACTGATGATGATAATTCCTTTTCAGTTGGTAATAAAATTAACTAGATGGTAGATGCAGATTGAAAAATAGGGAAGAGAGACTGATATTTAAAATCCATGAAGTTACAAGCTTGATGTCGTTTGTGTTAAAGTGGAGGATCACTAACATGGTAAAGAAAAAGGTGTGAAGTACATTTGGAAAACAGTTCCAGCTATGAGGTCTGGAGAACATGCTTCCAACAAAAGGAATTTTGGTTTCCTATGTTAGCATCATGTACACATGCCCTGTACCTTACTTTATGAACCCTTACACCATGAGCACACAGTTCATGGAGTGCACACACACACACAAACATAAATATTTAGGGTATGCAGCTGTACCTACCTGAAATACTATATTTAGCTAGTCTGGAGTTCAAAAATTCTAAGATTATCTGGCATAATAATCATATATAAAAATGAATTACATCTTTTCCCTTTAACTTGTGCTTTATGATTATTTGGCATGTTTTTAGAATTACATTCAAAGTCTTGCTGTTTACCCTCATTCAGGATTGTTGTTACTGTGGTGTCAGTGTTTTCGCTGGCAGTATTCCAGCTAATCCTCATCAATCCTTACCATGGCAGCTACAGTGCAGTAGCTTTAATTCAAGCAGTAAAAGTGGTATTGGCTTTTAGGTGCTGAAAATTATGTTTACTACACAGTTCTGAATTTATTGCACAACACTCCATACCACAATTATCCTGCATTAAAATAATACGCGAAAGTCTCGTACGATATATTACTTGCAACACTGGCAGCAGCAGTACACTTAATTAAAAACAAGTTGCTTGTAAACCTTGAGCATCTTGATTTGTACCTCTTTTTTTTTTTTTTAAAGTATTTTTTCACAGTTCAGGTATCTCTGCAGGTGTAATTGGAACAAGTGTTTGCTTTTCAAAGTTCTTCACTCTCCACCAGCTTTTGGGTTGGGGATGGAAACAGCATAGGGCTCTCAGTGGCCGGAAAGGCAGAGAAGATGTCAAGGCCCTGACCGGCGAGGTTGGCGTACCGGCTGCCACCGCCTCTCAGTTTCAGTGGTTGTGGAATCTGACGGTGCCACTGAGCTGAAGCAACAGAAACAGAATGGGCTGGATAAACCTCTAATTAGGTTTGCAATGAAACAACAGAAATCAATACACACACACCTGAAAATTTGCCTTCAGTGTCCTTGAAGAGAGCACAGCATTGCTGTTCTCTGTTTTAGGGTCTGTTCCTTCCAGTATTATTACTGATGAAGTTTTTACGTTGGGTATTTTTATTGAAGTCTACAGATAGAACTCTATCCCTGTTCAGTTCAATGGCAGCTTTTACATGGATTTCACTAAGCCCAGAATTTAACGACTGAATCTTTGGAGCCTTCTCCAGAGATCTTGCAGTCAGAACTATAGACATATGATAGCACAAACAGAGATGGACAGGACTCTGATTTTGTACTGCTTCCCCCTCTGGAGGCTTCTCTTGCTGATACTTCTTTTGGTGCTATTTAATTTCACGGCAATAATATAGGGAATTTTGAAAAGGAATTAATTACAATTTTTATTGCCCTTTACTACTTACAACTAGTAACATTTCCTAGAAAGAAATGTAATCCAAAGGCACATATTCAGTAATTTAAAAGTAACATTCAACATGTTCCCATATGAACAAATACCACTACAATTTTGTAAGAATATTTAGCTATTATATAATATCTAACAGTTGTCATTCTTAAAGCACTTCAGAAAAGGGAAAATTATCTTTGCCTGTATTCATACAAAACTTGGAGGTCTGCATCCGAATTAGGAAAACATATCTGTCAGCAGTTAGAATGAAAGGGTGGAAGTTCAGGGTCCAGTAGTCTAAGAGTATTTTAGTGTGGGAGACTACAGTCTACATGTTAGGCATTGATAGGAAATGTCTTTCCGTGCTGAATTTTGACCCTGTATATCTGGAAATATTTGAAGAAGAGCCTTCTTTTTTTTTGCAGCCCCTGATCTGTTTCTACTTGAATTCCTTTTTTATTATTATTTTTTCTTTGTGCACAGAACTGCAAATATCAGACCACATTTTCAGTCCCCCAACCCCACCCACTCAAAAGAGCACACAGAAAAATTAATTCTGTCACTCACTTTGGCGTATGACCTAGGTATTTTGGAAAATATGGTTGGAATCAGGAAGCATTTCTTGCTTTCCATATTTTTCTCGTTTGTGCCTAGAATCCTTCGTATGAAAACTAAATTTATGTCTTTCAGCATTTAGATACGTAAGGAATTCTTTTCCATTCTCTGTGACCTCCTGGGCCGGGTCTGTCCCCAGCCCCTGCTGATCCTGCGTTCCCGTGGCTGTGCCACCTCAAGGTGGCAGGAGCTGACAGAGATGCACTGGTGACTTGTTATCCCAGATAATTACGTGGTTTTCAAAATAAAAATTAGAAGTACAAATTTGAAAACATGGTGGGGTTTTTTTCCTGTGAGTGTCTAGTTATAATCCAACAGTTTGTGGAATATTTTTTCTGTTTTATTATACTGCATAAGTGATCAAAGTACTCTCTTGCTCTAGATAAATTGCTTTAACTCTTCAGCTCTTTCATCTTGCATAGATAACAGAGTAGTTAAATGATGTGCTGTAGTTCTTGTAGTGGGCTGGGGCCTCATTAGTCCTAGACAAATGTATTAGATGTAAATGAGCCTCCATCAATTAGGCTTGGCTTGCATCATACATGCTCCGTTGAAGAAAGGGGCTGCTCTCCTGTGCAGTTTATTGCTCCTTCTCAAGTCAGGGCTGAGGCACAGACACGTGTCAGAGGGAATAGAGTTATGGTTCAAACTGAACACTTGTTTATGGTATTCTTATATCTCTAGGGAATTTGGAAGGTGGGAAATGGGAGCAGAGAATATTGTTCTCTACTCCTCTGTTTTGGTTTTTTTTTACCTTGCTGCCTTTAAACTGATGCAGCAGAGCTAATGTGGCCATTTAGCTGTATCATTATACCTCCTTGTGAGGGCCTTATAAAGCTGTGGCCATGCTGTGACACTCATTTCTAATCCATGTCAAAAGCAGGAATTTACGGACGAGGAAGGGGGTGAGGGCTGGGATCAGTCAAAGAAAATAAATTCAGGTTTGTTTTATGTCCTCTCCAGTACCTACCGTATATGTCAAGCCGAGCAGTACAAGAGACAATACCAGCTTCGTTCTTGGCAGACAGGGTGTACCAGCCAGCATCTGCTTTCTTGGCAGGCTGGATGAGGAGGCAGACATACCCTGTGGTATCTTGATGCATGCTGGGAAAACAAGTGTTTGGGAATTAGAGCATATCAACTTCGAGATCTGAAAATATATTGAATAGATATAATTACTGTTCTCAAAAAATGAGCAGTCCGAGACATTTATAGTCAATAGATTTGGTTTTAGTATGGCCTCGAACAACGAGCAGAGTAGCTGAAATCCGTTCTGGATCCTCTCTGTTGTGCACAGCCATGGTGTGACAGTGGGAGCTGAATTGCTGCTGCTCTGTATGTATTAATGCTGGAGTTATTTATTGACCTCCAATGAACTAAACCCATGCAAAGCTGTGGCACAGTCATACTGTATTATTTCCCAGTTCAGAAGCTGGAAGAGTAACGTAACAGAACACCAAGAACACTTGTACAACTGTCATTCCTCTGCTGAGGTGAAGCGAAAACTTGTCTTCTAAGCTTTTGTGAAACAGCTGGAAACGAGGTATTTTAGGAGAGTTTTTCATTTTACATTAACTGCAGTGTTAGCATGTGTGTAACTATGATTCCTATGAAAGTACCAGTACTTGAGGTAAATCCTTCAGCAATCTGCCTAGAGGCAGAGGAATAAAGAACACAGGCTATAGAAGATCAAAGTCAGGTGGGCTTCTTGGAGAGGGACAGTGGTCTCTGAGTGAGGGCAAGGAGACCACTGAAAGAGCTTTCCAAGTAAGCTTTCCCCCGTGGGAGGTGTGCATCCGGAACAGGAGCTGCGGCAGAGCCAGCCGACGTCCCGAGAGGCAAGGAACGCGTGGCCCTTCTTGATCTCAGGGATCGTTAACTGGAGCCAAGTGAAATAAAATACTAAAAATCAGATATAGACTGAAGTAGAAATCTTAAAAAATTAATGAAAGCAATTAATGTCTCATTAATTACAGCCAGGCACATTATTTCAGCAGCTTTTCTTTTGCCAAACCTAAAAAATTATGATGTATTTGCAAGAGCTGAACCTGAACATTGTTGGATTTTGCAAGCATGGATCAAAGTCTTTGCTTTGTTTGTGACCAACTTTGTTATCAGTCTCTGTATCTGATGTGATAAACTCTCTATTACCCAATGCTCTGGGGCACTCAGAACCATGTTCTAGCTGTTCGGAGTTTGAATTCATATGTAGTTAGAACTAAACCAAGGAAAAAATAGTTCAGAGAGAATATGTTGCTAAAATGCATTAACATACCGTATCATGGTATCTTTGATAAGGAGACTCATCAGCTCTGTCAGGCCTATGGCCCCAAAGCTCTGTCCCCACTCTCTGAAGCAGTGGGGTGTCATGCTCCGTGCCTTTGTTCTGAACCCAGCAAATTGCCATGGTTCACCTCATGGAGGAGCGAGCTTTTCACACCTTCTTGGGGGTGAAAGAAGTCGCTTTACAAACACCACTCTCTGTATTTATCACACAAATTTTCAGGGAAACAATTGGTCCAGCCACAAGAAACTCCAAGCAGGGGTATGACAGTACTTTACCTCATCCTCTCTCTGTTGGATGGGATGGTCTCATTATCCTTCTTCCAGTAAAATATGGGGGGTGGCATTCCCACAACTCTGCATTCTAATCTGATGGGATACCCTTCTGGAACACCACAGTTCTGAAGCTTCTCCAGAAACATAGGAGCTCTTTTTACTTCCTTTGCTGGAAAAACAGTTTTTGAACAGCAGCTGTTTTATTCTTTGTTTCACTTTGAACAGTATGGAAGAACATGATCAAAAATTATTCTTGTGATATCAAAATAGATTGTGAATTTTTAGTAGGGTATTGGAAGGAAAGTGAAATGCCATGACATAGCCTCTGTAAGGGAACATAAAAGGCAAAACTGAAGTTCATAAAGGAGTGTATGCATATCTAATGGGTCTAAGCATACTGCCAGTGCAGGAAATTAATGCCAGATCTATGAATTTCAATGTCTCGAATTTTGTAAGACTTTATTAGAGAGCAGCATTCAGATTTACATTATTTTATTTTAAAACATTTTAAAAACTAGTAAGATTTGGACTGAAATCTAGGAGACCTCAACAAAGAATCATAGAATTCTGGAGATTGGAATGGACCTTACAGATCATCTAGTCCCAGCCCCCTGCCCTGGAGTTCATATATTGTCAATTCAAACCCTAAGCATTTTCTGGGGAGAAAATTAAGAACGTCATTTTGCCCAGACAAGAGAGAGAGGTAAGGTGATGATGAGACAGAATTCTTACAGCTTTCTGTCAGTGACAGGAGTGCACCTGTCAGCTGAGCAGCAGGTCCATTTCTCTCCATCAGCTGAGCTTTATAGCTGTTGGAGTCTCCTGCTCTCAGTGCATTAGCTATTTATTTATACTTCTCTGTATGGAAACTACGTCAGGTAAGTTGAAGAAGTGCACACAAATAACTTTGTCACTGTGACTAGTTTTTTGATGTTTCTTACCTACAACAGTGAGCTCCAGACTAAATGAATTTTGTCCTGTTTTATTAGTGGCAAGGCAAGTGTAAGTTCCAGCATCGTTTTGGGAGAGAGGGTCGATGAGCAAAGAGTGGACTCCAGTCTCTCTGACCAGTATCTTGTGGGTGCCGTCTGGTAGTACAGGTTTGCCATTCAGGAGCCACATCAGGTCTGGAGTTGGTAACCCACTCACCTAGCAGACAGTGAAACAGCTACAGACTGACGTCCAACTGACAGATAGAGTTTAGTAAAGTCATAGGTAGGCCTTTTGTTCAGATACCATCTGAATCAGGTCAAAATCTAGAGCAGAAAGATTTTTTCTTTTAAAAAATTATTTCTCAGCTTCTGTTTGTCTGCTGAATAGTTCCAAAGGGGAGAAAACCAGAAAACAGTCAAGCAAGAAGAGAAAAATATACATGAAATGCCTAAGATTTTCTGAGGCAGAAACTTGGTAATATGAGATTCCCAAAAGACTCCCAATAATCTGCTACTTTTCCTTTTTTTTGTCTGAGTATAAACCAAAACCCTGGATCTAAAACACCGCAGAGCTGAATAGAGATGAAAAGGAGTTCTATACAAAGGACATTGTATTTCATAAAATTGGATGAAGAATGCTATAATACGTTGTAGCTGTTGAACTGATATGCTTTAGAACACTACAGTGTCAGATTTTTAGAAGATTATTAGACTGTATTATATTAAAAACCATTATAGGCAGCAGTACTCATGTCTAAAAAACTGCTTTCCAAACAATATTTTACCAACCAGAGAAGGAGGGAATAGAAATTGCCTGAACGAGGACTGCTCTCTTCCAGAGTTGTGAGACACCACGCGTGCTTTAAGGTTTCACAAGCTCTGCCAGGATAGTAGAGCTAGGATAGCAGAGCTAGGAATAACCAAATTCTTTGTCATGCTCCCTAGTAAACTTGACTCCATAGAATAAGTAGTAATGAATTTTGTTCATCTTCAGGGCCTTAACTCATGCTTCAGAGCTTCTACTCTCTTCAGGGCGGGAGACAATCTGGAGCACGGAAGGGGTCAGCACTACGACCTTTGCTGTGCTACTGGGACATAGAGAGGCTACCAAAATATGTTGGAGCAGATGATTTCTTAAAGGAGTTCAGTAACAGGAAGTTCACTACGTGTACTCTAATCTCTGACAACTCTCATGTTGGGATTTGAGTTGGTGAATGGGGATGTTTCTGCATCTGTACATGCTGGGGAAGCATAAAATGAACTGGGCCTGCCTTCTTTTCAGGGAATATTAATCTTAAGGAATTCAGTCCAATACAATGGAAACGTTTGTTTGAGCACAGTACAACATGCCGAATCCTCTCTTTCTCGTGGTTTCATGCTCTTCTGGAGTTTGTACTGTTAAAGGACACAATGAACATATCCAGTAATTTAAACAACCTTGCAAGTGAGTCTTCTGGTTTTGGGTTGTGTTTTCTGTGTTCTTCATTCCATAAAGCATGTGTTCAAAAGAAATCCCTGGCAACAGCTCAGAGATAATGGCAATAAGAAATAGTTTTAAAAAATGAAGCATTAAAACTTGAATGGAAAATGTTCATGTGTGCAATAAAGAACATGAAAACACCTAGCAACCCATGTACAGAGGTAGGGGAAGTGAGAATGCACAGAGGAACCAGTTAATACCTTACAATCCAATCTACAAAGTCGCCCTTCGTGCGCTACCATGTCACCTGGAGCCTGCAGAAAGTATGGCCTGAAAAAGCGTTCTTGAACTGCCTCCTTGTCCCCTTCTGGCACCCGGGGCCGTGTTCTGCAACACAGAAACCACGTGTCTTTTTGGAAGTCAAACATTTTTCCTAATGCTTAAAAAATTGGGAGAACGGATGAAGAGATAGCTTGAGTTACATAAAAGAGCAGAAAGGCATGGACTGATTGTAATTTAATTCCTACGTATTTTCAATTTAGAGAGATTATCAAGTTGACTGTGTGGTGTAGTATCCTTGGATTCCCAAGCTGGCCCTTGCTACTTTTTACTTTTTGGCTGAACTTCATCTTGCCTTTAGCTCCACTGCCACAGGTAAATGAAATCAGACTTAAACTTCCCTCTGTATGAGGATGACCTTAAGAAGTAGTGCAATACAGAAGTGACCTGTTGGGAGGGAACTGCTGCTGTTATTTCCATTTTATGGTTGAGGACTAAAATTCAATGAGTGCACAGTTATTTTGGATGACTTCACTCAGGAGCGTAAAGAAGGTCTGAAGGACTTATTTCTTTCACCTGTGAGGCTGACTTGTTGGTATTCGGCCCCGAACAAGGACACTTTGAACCATCAGGTGGCCTGAACAACTGATTCTCCCCTGCAAATCACAATGGAAACAGAATTAATAGCTCGTTTCATTTCAGTTTATAAATACTGAACATTTACAATGCATTAGGATTTATTTTTATAAAGTAGCTGAACTATAGTGTAAATATTACTTTTCCAAAGCAAATGCTCTTAGCCTGCAGTGGAGTGCAGTTGGAGCAGGGGTTTCATTGTGTTTCTGGAGCAGTGTCTTTCTCAGGCTCTTCCAGGCTGTGGCAATGTGTTCAGCAGTGCTGCTGTGTGAAGCAGCTTCAGCAGTGCCTGTCCCTGCTTGTTTATTCCTGCCACAGCTACTGCCTGCTAGTGCCTTTGTACTGGCATATTTGTTTATGCAGTCACACAGAACTGTAAAGAAATGTAATTCAGAAAAAAAAGGAAAGATTTAAACTGGAAAAAGTTGCCTGATCTGCTTGAATGTACTTCTAAATAAGCAATTAAACTAGCACATGGGGTGAAGGAGAATGGTATTGAGGGATCAGAGTGTTTCCAGATCCACATCTTTGCATCCTAGATAAAGAATAATTGTGTTTGGTAACACTTGCAAATTTGATGTAACTTTTTGTTTCTCCTTGCTCTATTCTTTCTGCATGAAATGTCGAGTCTGCCTTGCCACCGCATCTCAAAAGGTATCTACCAGCAACAGGGGATGGGCAGAAGACAGAGGCAGGAGTTATTAATGTGAAAAAATGTCATTAATGATTTAGACTTGATGTGTAAGAATAGGGGAGTAGTTTTATCAGTCTTCTTTACATGGTTTCCTTTTCTGTGCTCTGAAGCATCTGATTTGTGATACAGTCACCACTCAGTGTCAGACCAGGTGGCCCAATCTGTGTTTCTACGAACCTATATTAGAAAAAGACAAAACAAGCATTTTTGCAAAGGAAAATAAAACACCTTACTTGTGGGTTTGCAGCCATAATCGTATAGTTGCCATCATCATCATTAGTAGCAGCATCAATATGTAAAGAACATGTTCCATCTTCTTCTCTGTTCATTTTGAAATGTGTGTTTTTCTTTGAAATCTGCTTGCCATCCTTGAACCAGTATACCTGCAGTGATTAGACCCCCCCGCCTGTGACTTAACACTTGCCCTGTAGTGGAATAGTGGCTAAAAAAATATAGGTAAGAACATGACATAAGTGAACCAACAGCTAGTAAAAATTTTGGATTATAAGCTTTGCAGATCAGTTACAATGTGAAATAAAATGATCCCAGGTTGAACTCTGAGGGCTGCTTATCATAGCTGGGCCTGTCAGATTCTCTTTTCTTGGCTACAGGCACATTAGTGGTTGTCTCAGATCAGTTCTCATCTTTCTGAGTGGTAAACTTTCTGGGGGTTTGTGAGGTCTGTATCTCTTGAAGCCATATGGTTGTGAGGCAGTCCCTATATTATCAAGGCCCGATACATGCTCAAGAGCAGGCATTGTTAATTTAGAAAGTGAGTTGGAAGTTATTAGTTTTAGAACTCTTTCCACAGAGCCATGTTCTTAGGAGTGAAACTTTCCAGAGAGGGGTATAGGGAATAGTAGGTAGTTGGTTTTTATTCTGCTACCAGTGACAATGACCTACCTTGGGAACAGGTATTCCAACAATTTTGCAGGTGAATGTAATAGCAGATCCTTCCATTACCCGGAAATGCTTGAGTCTCTTGTCAAAGATAGGTGCTATGTATTTGCCCATAGGGATTTCCTCGTGCTGAACTTCGTCATCTGATTCATCCACTGGTGTACGCTCAAGGCGAAATTCTATTTCATTCATCAGCCTCTGCTCAAAGCTTGAAATCCTGTACTCCTGCAGGGAGAGAGGGGCACAGTTTGGAACAAGGCCAGTCGTGTTCTGGAGTATCTGCAGTCACTGGCACTTTCAGACTAATTCTAAAAGCCCATGTCATCTAGGACATCCCTGAAATAGTCTGAATTTGGTCTGCCGACACAGTTCTCACAGCATCTTAAGTTTGCAGAATGTAACTGATGAAACGGAGTTTTTTCAAGGGCAGCAAAAAAAATCAAACATGTAATTCCTCTGAGTCCCTGTGTAAAAATGATACTCTTGCACACTCTCGATCAAAAAAGTTCTTTGAAACATACCAAATTTTGAGGATCTTGTGTTCAAATATTAGTCATGTGCTAATTATTGGAATGAATGCTGCTGTGTATTTTAATTCATAATTAAATAAGGGAAACTATACCTCCTAAAAGAGAAATCTAGGAAGAAAGTGCAGTATTTTCAGAGTAATTTACCTGCAGGTTAAAACTTGACCATATTTCTAGCTGGTATAACTGAGAAAGCAAAATACACCATGTTCAAATCCTTAGAAGGTTAAACAGATGATGCAAGAAAACCAGTATATTCCCTACCTAAATTACCATTTCTAGGTAGTTTGGTGTGATTATGAAGCTTCTCCTAATCCCATGAAGTCAGTTAGAAACTTCTCGTTACTTAGCTGTTACGCATGAAGAAATCTCGTCTAGACCAAGAGGCATTTGACTAAATGTCTCCTGCTGTGACCTGTGAAGCATCAGGCCAACAGCCATCTTCAGTTTTTGACACCAGTGTTTCTCCTGGGCATCATGGAGCACTACAGGTACACCTGAATGGACTCCTCAGGTAGCAGACAGTGCCTGGCTGCACTAACATGCACAGCTGCAAGACTGTCTTGCTCAAGTCATTACAGACCCACTCCTTTGGGGAAGCTTGTATTATCATATGTAGGCCTGTAGTCAGTTTGCTCAGGATTTGTGGAGTTTGTAAGTCCAGAGCTTGCATTCCT